ATTCTTATAAGTTCCACAAGTTCAAAATGGTAATGATATAGAAAGACATTTGTTTTGTTGGTGATTAAAATAATGTAGAAACACTATAATTATCAAGACCTGTAATTCATAAGTCTAAGTAAGATAAGGATCAGTTATTTGGTTTGTCTCCAAAGAAACAAAAACAATTTGTATTGTGTTTCAAATGAACCTGTTCATATGGCAAGGCATCGGTATAAGTTTCATACCAAAAATGGAGAGACCAAATTCAGCATATCATTGATTGCAAAACAAACATGTCTGAGTCATATTACATAATACATAGGTTTGTGCATAAGGGAGTACATAAGATTGAATTCAATAATTGAATCTAACATAGTTGTGAAGAAGTTTGGAATGAATCCTTACACAAATGATCTTAACAAAATATTTGAATCTAACACAATATGAGGTACTCCCTAAAGAGTCACTCCTTCTTGAGGTGCTTCACCTTGGTTGCTGAATTCTTTGGAGTTAGGACATCATCTTGCAAAAAATCATCAGAAAAAGTAGGAATGACGACCCTCTTAGCCGGGGTGTTGCTAGAGCAAGTGGATGGACTGCAAGTTTGGGTGGCAGAAATTTCTGGATGTGTGTTGTAGTGTTGGTAAGAAGATTGGGTTGGCTAGACAAAACAAAAATAATTGATCAATATCTTATGCCTCTAGTACAAAATAGTATATTGGAAGATTTGCAACATGTTAAGAAAAAAGACATACAATTGGTTCAAGTTTCATATCTATAGCATGCTCTGTATCAGTTTTCAAAAAGGCAACCTTAGAGGTATGCTGCCAAAACATAAGACCACAAATTGAAAGCAATCAGTTATGTTCAAAACATGATAAATTTTAAAGTTTACGCATTATGAGTTCATTTCCACAATCAAATTGTACCTCATCCGGTTTAAGGGCTTCAGATAATGTTTTGTAAACACCAGGATCGTTAAGGATAGTATCAATTGAGAATTGATCGAAAAAAGATTGATATTTGATTCTAAATGCAAATTGTTGATCCAAAAGTTTGTCTAGGTGTATGGGATAAATTTTTGGGTTATCCTCTCCAGCCTTGATGAATAATCACATCAGAAATTTAAAGTTGGTGAGTAAAACCATGAATAAGAGAAACACAGTAATCAAATGAATAATGTATTTACCTCCTTCATTACTTGTCTCAATTTCCTAGCAGTCATAGTAACATATGGAATAACATTTTTATCCCAAAACACAAAGCATCCAACATGATTATCAAACTCGACTTCTACCTCGATTTTGCATCTATGCCATGAAAACAAAAGTGGTTAAAGTATGTAAAATAGATTGCAAAGTTATATTTGAAGGTATAAAAGCGATATAGAAAAATTACTTTGTCACAGGTTTAACATCTTTGACTCCACAAACACATATGAATTTGGTGCCAGTGGACTTGTTTGATGTCTTACAACTGGGGCAATCCTCGAAATACCAGCCATGCTTTGACGCCTTAAATATCTTGGTAGTGCTAATGGTTGTGGCAAAACAATCCTAGTTTGACATCACAAAGAGTTGGTATATATTAGAAGAAATAATTAAGGTTGTAACGGCAATTTAAAAGCCGACCTTGCCGGTTTCACAAATGTGACGGATACTCTTGACCTCATTAGAGTTTGTCCAGCTTTTGTTGCCAGACTGCACAAAGGACTCAGAAGTCTGGGTTATAGAATGAGTTGGTGCAACAGCTGAATGTGTGGATCCTAGCCTGGAAATTTTTTGTAGAAACAAAGATAAAGAATCAAATCAAAGTAAACAGAGTTCAGCAAAATTATAGACAAGTATCTAACTATTTAATGTAGGAACATACTTGGTTTTAAAATCGAGAACTTGGGGATGCTCCAAGTTGATGTGGAGTCTTGATCCATTCCATGCATTAGATAGGCTAGGCAATCTAGATGCTGCTTGACAAAATTCAGACTTTAAATTATTGAATTGATAAACATAGCATGCATATTACATAATGATGTTGTTTGTAAAAACTTGAGACTAAATATTACTACTAACCGAACATGCTGCTACAAAAATGGACATGCTGCTATAAATGTTACTTCTAACTGAATTTGTATTACATGGGATCATTTTGAAAGGACAGGTTGCATTATAAATTGAGACAAGTTCATTGTCACTTTGTTTTCTAGTTATGTCCTATTAATATATGTAAGCTTGCAAGAGTCATCAATTTCAAAAGTGCACACTGCAATGGATACCAACAAAATGCAGCAGACAGATGTTTCAAGAACACAAAAATCTCTAAAATAATTTGTGAATTACAAAAGTCAGAATGCTAAAGGGGAAAGATTTATGATACATCAGTGGAAAAAAACAATGGACATGTTGTTGCATATGTTACTACTAAATGATGGTAGCATTATAATTTGAGACAAGTTCCATCTAAGGTTTCAAGACTAATCAATTTCTAAAGAGCACACTGCAATGCATACATACAAAATGCAAAGTCAGTTCTTTGAAGAACAAAAATATCAGTTCTTGCATGTGTATCACAATAACTTTGTTACCTTGATTTTGCTTGCACCATGCGTAAGTTAAGACAATGAGTGTTGGCCCGGGAAACTTGTTGGAGCTATTATAGCTCATGAACTGTTTACCGTAATCATCCCATAACGCAACCTCAATAATATTTCCAACTCCATCTCTTAGAGTGATGTTGGCACATGATTTCTTACCACCACCGCCCATTTGCGTCTTCACAACATCTTGTAAAACCCCGATGACATCTGCAATATATGAGAATGAGAAAAAGTGACAATGTTTTCATATGTATCATATGTAGTTAGATCAATATGCATTTAGTATGACAAATAGAAATATACACCATATGTATAATATGAATACATCTCACCATATAAGAGATCAGTGATGAAATTTCCAGTGAGAAAGTCGATAATCGACTTAAACTTGAATTGGTGTGTCGGTATTTCAGGTATTGGCAATTTCAAAACATTCGTTCCTCCATTGAAGACAAGTTTCAACTTGTTGGAGAAAACTTTGAAAGTGTCATCATTAGTCATTGGCTCTCTATTGTAAAGGAAATAAGTGTCATGTTCAGTTAGCTGTTCAGACCAGTCTTTAAACTCACAGTTCCTAGTTGTGACATGGATTTGATCACCCTACAAAATGGGTAAACATTCAAGGAAATGAACAATAATAATATAGAAACAGAGCAGGTAATGATTACCTGTGAATCTTGAATCACCATTTCGAAATGTTGCAGTCCACTTTTCTCCTTCACAATTCAAAGATCAACAACTCTAATGAGCATTTTCCATACCTGTTTCCCTTTCTCCAAGTCCTTGATGAGTATTAGGGGCCTTGACATGGTTGCTTAGAAACATAACAGAAAATAAATTGCTTAGGTGAATGGACATTAATCAGTATTCATATACCTTACAACTTCACAACTGCTTAAATATTTTCTGTGTAAGCAAAAACAATATATTAACAAAAACATGTTTTCATGAAAATAACCTGCATATTTTATAGTGTAAACCAAAGAACCTACAATGTATGCATATTTGTGAGTTGGTACTTGAATATATGTATGAATTTCAACAATAATGTCAACTTGCAAAACAACACTAGCCGATCCAGAACAACTTGTATAACAACAATGTCAACTTGCAAAACAACAAAAAATGTGAAAAAACGAACCAGAAGAGTTTGATGTTAGCAGAAGTTTGATGATGTTTGTGGGGAGGAGGGAGCAAAATCGTGTGAGTATAAAAAGTTTTATGAGTAACTCAAGGTTCAGATGTTTGTGGGGAGGAGGGAAAAAAGTTTTGTTTGCATCCAATACACAGTTGATAGATAGCAAGAGAAGAGGGATATCAAAGAGATGAATTTTGTCATTTAGCTGATTACTGTTTTGTCCAAAATGAAGGGTAATTTATTTTAAAGAAAAAGGCAGTTGAGTAATCTTGGACAATGTTTTTTTTGAAGTGTTGATAGTTGATGTCATTCATTTACCTTTAACAAAGTCTTTCTTTCTTAAAAAGTAAGGCATACATAACTTTCGTTTTTTTGTTTGATGTAGAGGAGGCTTTGTCCTAGTCCTTCTCTCCCATCGTAATATTTTTTAATTTATTCTATCTTTTATTGATTTAAACAAATATTTTACTTTTTTTTCTTCAATTAACATGTTTTATGTATCTATTCATTATTTAATTTCTATTATCTTCATATTTTTATTTTAATAAAAATATTATAATTTTCAAAATATATTGTAATAACATAATCATTGTGCATGATTAATTTAATTTGAATGTATACATGTGTGCACTGATAAAAAAATATTTGTCATTAAATTTAAAAAAAAATTTACAAATACTATTTATCATTGAATAACATTAATTATTTTAAAATTAAATTCTATAACTAAAATTTATTTAATTAATCTTAGACCTAATAAAAATGTTTTAAAAAAAATATAATTATAGATCTTAGCACATAAATCCGCAAGAGTTACATGATAATATATATTTTTTTACATGTAGACAAAATGGTAATAAATAACTACTACAAATTCAGATACACAATTGTAACATCCAAAATTTGATATCTAGTGTGAGGATTTAATTTAATAATATCCATTTTTGTTAGTTAGAATTTGTGAACATATTTTAATGTTGTGTGCATTTAAAATAAATAAATATTTAATATTTTGGGAAAAGAGCTCATCAAAAAATAAGTTTTTTTTTAAAATCGAAATACCTCAACTTGCAGCCGCCCAAAATGAATATTACGCAAATGTCAGCTTTGACACACACTCTCCAACAACTCAAACAACTATCAAAATTTCAATGAAATTCATTATCGAAAATGGGTCCCAATAATTACATATCAAGATTAAATCATCTTTCAACATTTCAACAAATAAGTTTTCAAAAAAGGTTATTAGTTTTACTTGTATGAACCAAAATAATTCACGCACTATATATGATGGAACCAGAGTACCCAGAAGGATCAGCTTCATGTTGCTTTTGTTTCTCCACCAAGAAAGGTGTTGCAAGCCATAACAAAACCAGAGGAGTTGAATGGAAAAAGAATGATGAAATATTATCTGATATGAGCACTTTTTCTGTCAAAGAACAAGAGAGGAGGTTGAAGAAAGCTTTGGAAGAGGAAAAGAGGGTGGAATTTGAAGCAGAAAGGGTTGTTCAATGGGTGAAACAGGAATCATCAAGAATTGATGTTTCTACAATTGACTCAATTCTTAGTGACAACAAGAAGAAAGAGGAAGATGTGATATAGGTTTTGATTACAAGAAATATTTGTCTAAGTGTGTAAACAATATTCGCTTTGAAATTTCCATGTTTTTATGTATATGATACTAATAATTATTATTAATAAAATGAAATGTGTTTATTTCAACATTAATTAGAAATGGTGAGAAAAATTGGACTCTTATTAAAGACTTAACTATCCATAAGAATGATTACACACTACTTACTATATAAGACTAATGCGTGAATTTAAGATATCCACAATGTTCTAGTTCATAATAAAATTGACATTTTTGGATCGATGGCAAAATAAATGAATTTTTCTTAAACGGATTATTTTATAGTAAATGTATATGATCGAGTTTTAATTCAGTTAATAAGATATAGTTTTATGAAAATCTTTTTTTCTATGTAAATTTTCTCTCAAAATAAGCAAGATGGTTGAGTTATATGCATTGGATGACATGCAAATAAGATACGTTTTATAGTGGTTTACTTGAACCGAAGGTGTCCTCTACCACCAACATCTCTAGAATGGAAAGAACATAAGGAATGATCATGTAACGTTATATTTGTGAGAGTTTTATATAAGGATGACATAAGAGTCCTCGCCTAGTAAGTCATTGTTTGGGCGCTAGCTATACGGAGTATAAGGTCTCGCCTTTATGTCAGATGACGTATATAATATTGCTATCTCCTCATTAATTATACAAGAACGGATCATACCACAACTCCTTTAAAATTAAGTGGTCAGCAGTCACCCCCAATCAAGGGAGAGCGGTTACCACTTATTAAGGTTTACTAAACCTTAGGCCCAAAAAACTCTATAAATATTTGACCCTTTGAAGGAAGGAGACATATCATAACTTAACTAGCGTTACACATATCACAGACTCTCTCACCTCACGTGAGTTGACATCTCTTATCACCTAAAACACCATATCACCAGCATACACGACTTCTCACTGTCGCGGGACAATCTTAAGTGTTATAAAACTACTAAGGCCTTTAAGTATCCCTTACCCTTGTAGGGATACCCCCACACATTTGTACTTGTCAATTGGCGCCTACCGTAGGGCCTTGGTAAAACTAATATGGATCACACCTCCTTCTATAACCTCCATATCCATTATCACCCCACTATTATACCCAGACATTCTTAGCCATGGTTAACAAGAAAGCATTTTGTCATACCCCAAAATTTACCCTTAAATTATTAGGTTCATTTCGCATTTCATTTCATTCTGCATTGGATTTTAACTAATCGCTAACCGGTTTGTCCAGTCTGTTTGTTTTTGCAGGAAAATAGCACTGTGTGCGCTTTAATTTACAGTCGGTTGTTTGTTTCGATGCAAAGTCATTATCAACGGATCTCCAGGCAATCAGGGTTCCTATCTTCGAATCATGCAATTTTTATTTGAGAAGGGGTTGAATTGTATGACAATACGGATGTCAGATTCCTCATGACACAATACATTTTATTCGAGAACCGGGGTTTAGTCGTTAGTTGGGTTTGGAAATGTTGTTTGATTCATAAACTGTATAGAGTTGAAGGCGTTGAAATTTGGGTTGAATTGGTGCGAGAATCGGCTGCAAGGAATTTATTCTAGCAATCGCACGTTTTTCCGTTCTTCTACTGTTTGCGAGTTAATTTTCAGAGGAACGGTGAAATTATGGTTCACATCAGAGTTCTGATAAATATTAATTGGGTTGATCACGAGCATCAGTTGAATCGATTCAGGTTACAAATTCAGGTTACTCAAGATACAACCTGGATTTTAAATGCAGAGGAACGTTCGTTTCGCCACTAAAATGGATTTCTCTGTTTATCTGTTCAAAACCGTATTCACCGATTTCATTATCCAGTACAATTTAATTTGCAGGGGTGAGTTTTGAACTTAGCAGTTGCGTTGGATCTAAGTTGCGCAAAATGTTTAATTTGTCGAATTCGGAGTTTGGAACATCAAAGTTTATTCAGATGAATTTCGTTGAATGAGTTTAATCGGAAAATTTTGATTGGAGAAATGAATTCAATTTATTAAGAAAAAATTGAATTTATTTATTCAAATTCTATATATTTTTATTACAATATGCTTGAAGGTACAAATTAAATCCTAATTGTCCTGAAATTCCTAATTTTTTTAAGATTGTCTCCGCGTCCAATTCTTCAACCTTCGACTCTTCGAACCTGCAAAATCGACAATACCTGAAAATGATTGGCGATTGGTTAGAATTAATTAAAAGTGGTTTTATTAGTCATTTTTTATACCCTCGGTTAAAAATTCTCATCATCGGGTACATCGGGGGGGGGGGGGGGGGGGGGGAAACAAATAAATGCCACCGCATCCCCCGACTTTTGTTTTCCGACCTCGGCACGATCCGACAATGATCTGTTCGAGTTTATTCCAAGAGAGAGAAAAAATGATTTTTTGGAAAAGTATTTATTTTGGAAAAAAATGATTTTTCTTGTTCAATGTCAAACAAGTCATAAGGAAATTCCCCAAAATCCACCAAGAAAATGGATATCTCAAATCCATGGATATCCAAAGTGGAAAAATCCATGTCTAGTAAGCCAAGAACAACAACATTTCCCCAAATTTCTGCTCCAACAACAACCAGAACAGATCAAAACAAACTCTCCATGAAAAACACAGTTTCTCCGTTCCAAACCCTCAGCTAAACAAAACAAATCAAATAACAAATCCGCATAAACATCAACAAAATTTGTTTCAACAAATCAACCCTAAAAAAACGTGAAGGATCCAAGCCCAGAAAATCAAATCAACATCAGTATAAAACCATCATTTGTTCATAAGTGAGGGGGAGGGGGGAGAAGAAGAGGATTTTCGGAGCAACACAACAACACGCAAAGAACAGCCGTGAGTTCATCAGAAGGGGATTTCAAAAAACCCTAAAACATCGAGAACAAATCATCATCCATCACGGCGGCCGAAACATCATCATCATCCAAAAAAACGGATGAAACCCTCACGAACGAAAACGCAAGCCAACCACCACCATCAAGAAAGCACAACCCATAAGCCTCAGACTTTCATCATCATTGGCTACACCAACACCGTTTTCGTTTCCAACCGCGACCACAACAACCGTAAACAGGAGCGAAAACACCAGACTCAGACGAAATCATCAAATTCGTCCGCGAGCCATCTCTACCAATACAAGAACAAACACAAACAATCTGTCACTATCAATAACACAGACTGCAAAATAGCCAAAAAACGTAAGCTAATGCATCATGTTAATCTTTGTGTTTTAATTTCGTTTTAGATCCACAGAGAAAGAAGAAGAAAATACTTTCACAGCAAGACAACAAGCAAGGCCGTGGAATAGAGATAGAGGGAGAACCACGAATGAAGAAGAAGGAAAAAACACAGCAAGCAGACCCAAGAGGCCTCCGCGGCCAAGGAAGCAAATGAGGGTTTCAAACCCTAAATTTCCGGACCCTTCCCCCTTTATATATGCTGGCCCTAGTCGGGTATGGGGAGTGGTGACCCAACCCGACCCATTTTTTTGTTTTTTTAATTTTTTATTATTTGTTTTAACTTTTTATGGTATTTTTAATTAAAATTCTGTTTTTTACATTCTAATGACTTTTTTTTTTCAATTAATAAATTATAACATTTTCTTAATTAAAATTCTAAACTTATTTTTAATTATAACTCAATTTTTACTTAAAACTCTAACTTTTTTTAAAAAAAATTAATTAAAACTCTAACCTTTTTTCTTTTAAATTAAAAATTCTTTTATTAAATCTAATACTTTTTTTTTTTCAAAAATAAAATTTTAATATTTAACAATTAAAATTAACTTTGTAAAAAATTAAAAATCTAACCTTTTATTATTAAAATTGACTTTCTTAAGAAAAATAAAATATAACTCTTTTTTTTTAAAATTAACAATTAACTTCCTTTTATTTAAAATTATAATGAAATTCTAACTTCTTTTTTTTAAAATTCTAAAACTTTTTATTCAAAAGTTCTAATCTTTTTTTTTTTAATTCTAATTTCTAACACTTTCATTCTTAAATTCTAATTGAACCCTAACCTAAAAATTCTAAAATAAATAGCTAAAATTCCTAATATCCCCGATTGAATTTTCGCCTAATTTTTATGTCGTTCCTAACATTATTTCTCATTTGTCTTTGGTTTACTAACCTCATATCTTTCCGTATTTCATTTTTCATGGTTTTAATTTATGCGAGGACATCGTCGCTTCTTATTCTGTCATTATTCTTGCACACTTTTCTATATTTCAATATTGTTATTTATTTTTCATTATATTTATCTCTCCGTTAATTTCTCTCCGAAGGATAGGTCTAGCCGTTTGATCGTCGCGTCAATAATCCTTATCCTTGACTCTTTCACCTTTCAAACCATAATTGCATAGGCGTTCTGCCGTGGACAAGTTTACCCTTTACCCTAGCATTAGGATAAGGAGTCTCCGTACTCCGTATTCGGTTTCCCGCCGCGGAATACCTATCTTACCCTTTTTTCAATTCAAACTTCAATGTAGAGATAGGAGTCGCCACACTCCATGTAAGCACTTCTTTATGAACATTTGTATCCCCATTGAAACCTTGACCACCGTCAAGAAGTTTCAATTCCTCCCTTTCGAGGGGAACTACAATTACTCTGATTGCATCCCCTACCTCGGATACGTAGGCACAAGATGCGAGTCTTGGCGAGTAAACTTAGGACTAACCCCTTAGTTCTTTCTTTTCACCTTCTAACCCTTAGCATATACCCTTAAGCAGATAATTATAACAAAATAGCAACATTAAAATAAGAGGTTCCTGTAGAGTACTACAGAAGTTTAGGGTGTTAATCCCTTCCCTAAGCTTAACCAACCCTCGAACCTTAGATCTCTCCCCGCATTGTGTCTACGATGCAAAAATAGGTTTTTCCTTTCTTTAACCTTTCCTTCGGATAAATCAAAGACCAGTTGTGAATCAAAGATTTGTGATTCAAATTAATTAATAATTTGATATCCTATTCTCACCGCAACACA